GCATAAAATAACTCGCTGAACTAAATAATCCGGAATAATCGAACCCGCACTTGGTCGGGTCGTTCCAATCCGAAGTATCGATTCTAGGTCGGATCAAACCCCTACCATGATCATGTTTACTCATCACGTCAAATCTCACTTTCTTTGTCATTTCTTTCCAATATCTTTTGATCACAAATAAATAAATAAATAAAATTAATTAAAAAATGGAAAATTTCAAACTAAATAACATCCTCACCCAAAACAAATTAAAACAATCTACACAACAATTCAAAAAAAAAAAAAAAATAATCTTTTCCCCACTCATTCAGTCATCCAAGCATAAAGAAAATGGCAAAATCCCATTGAGGAAGAACCACCCTCCTCCTCTCCTCCCACCACCCCACCACCACCACCACCACCGCCGCCACAAAAACTCCCGCCAAAATCTTCATCCTCCTCGAGATGCGCACTTTCGAACTCACCCTCGTTCACACCCCGCCTAAAGACGAAAATGCCCACGCCGGAGTGTGTCCCGTTATACAACCAATCATGCACGTCCCACAATATCTGCACCGGAAAATCGTCCACCACAATCGTCTCGTTCCCCCTAAATCTCCAATGCAAGTTCGGAACCCTAATCGACTCCATCCCGTCGACGCTAATCCACATCTCTGGATCGTACGGCCCACAAAGCGCCGATTCGATGATTATACTATGCTCCTTTTTGCTCTTCCCCAACGTCGTCTTCGTGCAGAAACACTTCCTCGCAAAAACAATTTCCTTTTTGTGGACTAAAGAAGAATCTTGTAAAGAAGGCCTCGATTTCGTCCGTCGTAAAGCTTCGTTTTTTTGGTCGCCGAGGAGTAGGACGACTTCTTGATCGGAAACCATGGCGACGTAGTAGTCGGAGTTGGGTTCCGGGCTGGTGGCGAATTTGGCGGATCTTAAATCCCAAAACACGTCGACCCGTTTTTCGGCGACCCGAAAAGTCTTGAGGCCCTTCTTGCCCCAGAATTGCCAGGTTTTGAGGTCGATTTTGCATGTGTAGTGATTTTCGTCGAGTGGGTTTTCGACGGTTATGTAGAGGGTGTGGCTGATTAGGGTCTTGGCCCATGTTACGGTGACGTGGCAGATGGTCTCGCCGAGTTTGACTTTGTGGATGCAGGTCACGAAATTGTGGGCGGGTTTGTTGTTGTTTGTCGATGCAGGGTCGTCGGAGGCGACGGGTGGCGGCGGTTTCTGCAGCGGCGGCTCTAATGGAAGTGTAAACATTGTCTATGAATTCTTTTTCCAGACAATCAACATGTCTGGAATTTTTACCCCCTTTGTTTTAAATAAATCCCCTCCATACAAAACTTTCGTAATAACGCAACGAACGATGCTACACCCGGTGAAATATACCAGGTCGATTAGCGTGTAGGAAAAAAAACTTTGTATTGTGTGTGCTATTTCTTTTTTTCTTTTGCCTTCCAATTCAAGAAATGCAATAAGATATAACCTGGGAAAAATCAAAATTTGCATGTGCAATATAACGTTGTTTACCTTGGGGGAGATATGAATGGTGTTCTTGAATTAGGGCATTGGATTTTTTATTATTATTAAAAGAAAATATATAAATGGATGATGATTTATGGATTTACAATCTGACAGGTGAAAAAGAAGAAGAAAATAATTATTACACAAACAACAAAAATTTGAAAAACAATGATCAAAGGAATAGAAGAAGAAGCACCAAATGGGATTTATATTTTCTCCTGGTAATGCGGATGTCTTGTTTTTTAAACTTGTTAAACTTGTAACAAGAATTTATGTATTTAATTAATTTATTTTCTTTTTTCTTTTTTATATGATTACTAGAGGTTTGGAATTTCTATAATTTCAAATTATAGAGAGTAAATTACAACTAGCTCCCTGAGGTAAAGTCTCTTTACAAAAAAAATCTCTAATATTTCAGAAATTACACCCAACCTCTTCTTCAATTTGTAAATTTCTTACATCCATCTAGGGATGGTAAACGAGCTTAGCCAACTCATTAACTCGACGAGTTGGCTCGACAAGAGCTCGAAACGAGCTCGAGCCCAAGTATGGTTGTTCGACAACTCGCGTCTTTTTATTTATGTATATTATACAATATACTTATTGTTCTTATTATTATTAAAATTAAAATTATTATTATTATTATTATTACTATTATTTTATTATTTAAAGCTTGAGTCGAGCTCATCAAGGCTCATGCGAGCTCGAGCCAAAAAATTTCAACTCGTCGAGCTCGCCTCTTTCACAACCCTACATGTTAATGTAATAAATCAAAAAATTGAAGGGGTTGAATGTAATTTCTAAAAAATGAGGAATTTTTTCGTTAATAAATATTATCTCAAAGGGTAAGATCAACCCATCCTGTTTCGGTAATTACAACCATCCTTAACTATAAAGCGTCTTATACGTCCACCTTTGTGGTGTCAAATTCAGTGAAATCTTCTAAATTATGTGAAATATTCTCCAGTTTGAATACCTTTTACCCCATTCGTACATTTTGAAACAAGATGATAATAAGATGTGTCTCATGACTTGTAAATATCAGATTGTGGTTCATCTGAAACAACATTTTTGCATAAAACAAATACGAACTAGAGAACAATCACGGAATCTAGAATATTATGCTGAATTCGACATACAAGGATGGACGTCTAAAAAAATTCATAGTAGAGAGGGGTGGTTGTAATTACCAAAACATAAGGGTTATTTCATAATTTAACCTTCCTCAAGGGAGTCAATTTAAAAAAGATGCTTCAAAACAAGCTTGGAGCGTAAATTGAAATTTTGAGCGCCTTACTACGAAAATGAAAAAGCACACAATCCGCGTGAAACAAAAAACAACAAGTTAAACGTCAATCTACACCGTCGATTCATTCCTTATCTACGGACTAAAACAATTAATTCACAACGACACGGATCGTCACGCACAACCGTCGATCACGCTAGTGATCTAACGGCACCAGACGTACCCCTATCCCCCCAACTCCCCCATATATACCCCTAACTCAATCACCCAATTTCACACCATCAATTGAAAATTTTATTTTTGTTTAAATTCTAATCGGAAAAGATGTCAGGGAGAGGAAAGGGCGGCAAGGGTTTGGGGAAGGGCGGAGCAAAGCGACACAGGAAGGTGCTGAGGGACAACATCCAGGGCATCACGAAGCCGGCGATCCGCCGCCTCGCGCGGCGCGGCGGCGTGAAGCGCATCAGCGGCCTCATCTACGAGGAGACGCGCGGCGTTCTGAAGATATTTTTGGAGAACGTGATCCGCGACGCCGTCACCTACACCGAGCACGCCCGCCGGAAGACTGTCACCGCCATGGATGTTGTTTACGCGCTCAAGAGGCAGGGCCGCACTCTGTACGGTTTCGGAGGTTAAGTTTTTTTTTTTTTCTAGGGTTAGGGTTTGTGGATTTTGGAATGTGTATATGTTGGATGAACAATTAGTGTTTGGGAGATTTGATTTCTGTTGTTTTAGATTTTCGTTGTGGATCTTTTGTTTTGGATTAGGATTTGTTCATCAGTATCTTTTGTTGGAATGAAATCTGGATTAGTTGAAATTTTTGGCTTCAATATTTTTATTTTTAGATCCATATCAATTCCAGAACATTGGATGAAGTTCTTGCCCTGAAATTTGATTTTTTAATTTTAATTTGGGTGAAATGCTTCTGATTTAGCTTTGTTACAACAATTAATTTTGAGGTTAATGATGAACATATTGAAAATCTTAATAAATTTCGAATCATAACGATATAATAGCTGCAGAAACCTTTGGAAAACATGATCATGTTGATGCTACACCTGGTAAATTCATGAGTATTTTCGAATTTTGATTTACACGCAACAAGATGTACATGTGTGTGTTTTTTAAATATATATGGATCTATACACGTATGTTTTGATATAATCTGGTAGAGTTCGTCGGTGATTGTAGCATAAACCAAACTATGTTTGGCCTATATAATATTATCCAGTAAGTTAGGCCTAATTTTCAAACGCTTCACTCTTGCCCCCGAAAAATTGCGTATTTTATTCTTTTCAAGAAATTGAGCAAACCAAATAAACCCAGTCCGATTCGAGTTCAAGTTCGATTAAACAACTACTTGATACTAAACCTACACTCTCGTATAATAGTTTGCAAACCATACGAGAGAAGTAAATCACACTGGGCTAACCTAGTGTGGCGAGCTCGATCTAGCGACCGTCGAGCGACAACAAGATTCGAATTTTGGTCAATTGAAACAAACTCACTTGCTCTAACCACTTACCGGGATGAATTGCAATCTTTTGCTCCCTACCAAACCTAGTATAACAGGAAATACCATAAGGCACAAAGTGCTATTCTTGATTATTGTATAACAAAAATAGTGTGGGAAAAGTAAGTTTAGTTAAATAAGACCAACAAGTATAATGGTCCACTTATTTCACACTTGTTTACAACATTAAAATAAGGCTAGACCAAAAGGTTCAAGAACCCAAGTTATCTCAATTCTTGACCACATTTGCCACTTTTTTTCTATTACTTTCTTAATGATTAAGCATATAACCTAATTCTAATAAAAAAAGGGCAAGCAATAAGGTTGCAATAATGTCAAATATCCTCACTAGCTACTAGTTTACAATTTCAAGAAAGTGGGCATTTTCTCCTTTTTTGTTTGTTTTCTTGCTTCCCAAACACCAAAAAGCAGATCACAATTCAAATTCCTAAGGCTCTGTTTTGCCAAATTTACACTATAACAATCAACATCGTGCCTGAAAATGTTGGAAAAAAAATTATTTTGCGAGAAGAATTTGAAAATTAAAGTGAGGTTTCATCAATTTTTAGTGTAGCAACCAAATCATAGCTACCATTTTCAAAATTATTCCCTAAAAGAACTTGAACTCCAATATTAGAAACCTAAACAGAAAAAAATAATAATAATAATAATAATAATAATAATTCCGAAAAAGAAGGATTTTTATTTTATTTTATTTTATAAAGAAAAGAGGAGCCAAACATGGCCTTATATCTATATCTTCAGATCCTACATTTCATCTCC